ATGGAATTTCATTAACACCACAACCAGCCGTTGTACTATATCCAAAGCATATTATATGCGACTACGATGCCCTGGTGACCTTAAAATCAGCTGGTTAATTTGTGAAAGTTTTTAATCGCAGTAAATGGGGAGTATTCCGTAGCCCTAAAGGAACAACAATGTACCACTCAATTGTTAGTACCATTAACTCGAAGATCAAAAGTTGTGAAAAGTTTTTTATGGAACATTCGTTGCACTAGATTCAAAGATATTATGCCCGACTACAATTCCTTGGTGACCTTTAAATCAGCTGGTTAATTTTTGAAAGTTTTTAATCGCAGTAAATGGGGAGTATTCCGTAGCCCTAAAGGAAAACAATGTACCACTCAATTGTTAGTACGATTAACGAGAACATAAAAATAAAGTTATGAAAAGTTTTTTTTAGAACATTCATTGTACTATATCCAAAGCAAATTACGTCTGACTGCAATGCCCTGGTAATATTTAAATCACCTGTTTAATGTTGGAATGTGTTTGATCGCAATAGAGACCATTCCGTAGCCCTAAAGGAACAACAACCACTCAATAATTAATATGTCGTCCTGTATTATTATTTACTATTAAAGGCTTTTGCCAATGTTGGTATTGACTACGCCCAGCTATGTAATGAACCAGCAGTACTCGAAAAGTGTCAAGAAATAGCCACCAACGCATCCTGGGGAGTCAAACTCGGAAGGCTGAAGGTAAAGAAAGTTGAAGATGGCGCCACCTCTTTTGGCTCTACGGGCTTAGCGCGTCTTCTTAATGTTTGTTTTTTCGTTCGCTAGATGTCACTGAAGGATGTATACAAGAGTGATCGAGAGGAGAAGCTGGCAATTTTACCAGACCTCATGCAGAATTCACAGATAGGCCTTGATATGATCTTAGAGTTTTGCAGGTAGACGGCTGTGATAAGTTACGTGTGTATATATGCCTTAAACTCATACGTGGAAGTAATCTGTGGATAAAACCTTTTGTGTAAAAGAGAACATGCTAAGTATTTTCCTGTTTAGGTCGAACAAAAATGCAGTCAAACAGGTCTTACCCGACGCACACCTCACTTTTATTGACTGCTCCTTGATTATAGTGGCATACCACTCACATACTTTCCATACCTCTATAACATGGCCTCTTCCAGGGGTCACTCAGATCTGCTAAAAGGGAGTTTGACTGTAAGAAGGTTATCAATAGAACGCACGTTAAAGGAACTTTTTGTGGGTCACCCGATTGGACTTTTTATTTTGTTGAGGAAAAGGGGGTGGAAGCAGGCGTAGTATCAACTCTTTCTTAGCTCTGACGTCTCAAAATGCATTTACAATTTCTTTTTGAGTAACCATTACCCTGTGGGCCTAAACTTCGTTTGAGCTCAGTTTTTACAGCTGTCCCCCGCTGGGTGTCATACTGGATTATACTCAGCCGTCTTTGCATGACGATTGCATGAGACTCTCCTAAAGGACCAAGACGAATATCTTGAACCGCTCACCATTCTACAACAATTGACTTTCTTTTAGTATCTTACTTTGCTTGTAAAGCGTGCATACTTAATTTTACCTTTTTTCAGGTAATTCATTGTGCTCTATTGTCTTACCTAATTAATCTTCCTTTTTCTTATAACACTTTTTTTTGCCTTTAAATTTTATTTTACGAATTACCTAATATTTTCTTTCATTTGTGTTACACTACCCGCCTCAAATAGCCTTTGCTACTTGCGGGTTGTGTTTTGATTTATTTTTGTAACCAAGTTTTTTAAAATAAAATGAAGTTGTTGTTGTTGTTATTTATATTTAGCATGTGTTGTTTTCCTAAGGCTTTAAGAGTCTTCAAAGTAATGCTTGCATGTTTTTTGACAGGGCGTTTAAATTGGATGAAGACAATGCTCTGCTGACGTACGTTAGACAGCAGTTGCTTCCACCGATGGGCCTTCCTTCTACGGGAAGGTCCCCAGTTACACAAGACAACAGCATGGAGGAGTTAACTTATCAGCAGAATGTCAGCAAAGTGGTCCATAAGATTTCTTGCACGACATCACTTCTTAAACTTCTAGTGGAAGTAGGCTCCAAGGTAATCCAGTGAAGGTATAACCGTTACGGTTCTTTGTGTATCCAATGGCGGACTTAGAGCTTCAAATAGGTGATACTTTGCAAAACCAATCAAACAAGAGCTGCGTTCATTAAGTTGCCCCCCCCCCCCCCCCCATGGGCAACATGTTGTTCATTTTGTACAGCAGAATAATGGTTCGATTACTTACTGAATGGCTAACTGTTTCCTGCTACATTATGTTTTGTTTTACTTATGTTTAGATGACTACACAGTCATTGATGTCTTATTACATTTGTTTACTTTGTTACAATGTGTTGGTAGGTTGATCCTTATGACTATGATACAATTGTGTTTATCCTGAAGTTGATCAGGGATTTATCACCTGAACAAAGTGCAACTGTTGATAAGGTATATTTAGTTAATTAAAGCCGACTTTACTTAAGTAAATGTTAGAAAGCCGTTTTAGCGGAGCCCCATAGCTAAGACACGTGACCGTACGTCCGCCCGCCCGCCGGCCCGTCCGTCCGCACCACAGGGAAACTCATGTGAAATGTTTAACTTTCTAGCTAGTGTGCGAGCCTGATATTGCACACTGACAGCTATAAAAATAGGGTATCGGCTGACCAGTATCACATGTTCTTATCGCGGGCTCAGCTGTCGTGTTTTTTTTTTACGTTTACCGCTGACAACTTTCTAGATTTCAAAAGAATCGCAAGCTCAACTCTAAATGGATTTCTTAGTTGCAATGTTTTTTTCATTAAAGGGAGATTCGCCTTTAACCTCGGCTAAATCTATTTATTATATAAACTGCAGTGTTTTACAAGGATTTCTACCACCGAGAAATGTGGTATCTGAACACACGTAAAAATACGATATTTTTACATGTGAAGATATCGATAATTTCACTGACATCAGATTTGTCTCTTAAATTGTACTTAAATTCATTGGTGTATCATCGAAACATCTTCGGGTCTTCCTCGAAAGTGCTTCGAAATCTTCGGACATCTTCGGCGAAATTCTCGGAAAATGTTCGGGAACGTTCGTCTGGTCTTCGGGACAATTTGAAAAATTCGGAAGGTGGTCGGAAATCTTCGGAAAATCATCAAAAACGCCGTCATCAGTATGTTTTATAATAAAAAAAACGTTAGCTCGAAGATATGAATTTTATGTTCTCGTGGCAAGAGCAATATCTCACTCGTTCGCTGCGCTCACTCGTGAGATATTGTTCTTGCCACTCGAACATAAAATTCATATCTTCTCGCCACCGTGTAATATTCTCTATATATTAAACTTTCGATATCGGTACATCTAGGTAGGTGTCTGAAGTACATTTTGATCAGTGGAGCGTATTAGTCATCAAATCGTGTATCGTAAAAAACATATTTCTCGGTCGGAGCAGGGTCAGTGATCCATGGTGTATGATCGTCTTTAAGCCACAATTCAGTGAAGTTTGCCTTACCTTTGTTTTCGGAAGTCGTAAATCCTTTAAGAAAAGCCTCTACCCCTGTAAAGAGGTCATCAAACTGTCTGAATTTCAAGAAGTCCTCATTGATCTCATATTAATAGGTAGTTATTTAAAGGACTTGGCGCCTTGTATTCGTTAGGCTTAGGGTTTCCGTATAGCTGACTGTGTTGTTTTATTTCCAGGGAATTCAATTGTTAGATTACTTATATCAGTTTGACCGCACTGCAGCACCAACCAGTTATGAGAGATCTTTTCACTACTCATCCAAAAATACGGACAACGAAAAGGTAAGAAACCTGATATTCCCCACTACAGAACCTTAAAGGCGACTGGGTACAAGATTCGTAGCAACGATGCCCAGAATCGTTTGGGTGGAGAATCGTTACTTATGATTGGTTAATAATAGTTGCCTTGAACACCATCGACCAATCATAACTAACGCTTGTCCACCCGAATGATCCCAGAAATCACTGCACCCAAAGCTCTTACCCATTCTCCCTAGAATTACATTTACGAGCGTACCTTTTACTGCTTTAGCGTGATGTCAGTGTATTTTTTTTTTAAATAACTAGGTAAAAGAAACTTCACATAGTCGGTACTTGCTAAACTTTTTCTAACTTTGCGTCTCTGAACATTTGTCCAGCATCATTTGCTTGGCAATAATTTGCGAAGTTAAATCTCTTCCTTTTTTTTGCAGACAATACTTGAAAAAGAGAGACCACTATCTCCACTGTCAAAATCCAGGCTCCCATATCATCCTCTGCTCTATGGGGATCCATGGAAAGTTATTGGTAAGCGATTTTCGTTGATTGGGTAGGCGTTATGTTGCTACCATACGCGTCCGCTTTGTATGGGTCACGAAAAAGTCTAATGGCCCTTCAACAAAGAAGTCTCAAGGATTAATGGTAGCCTCCCCGCAGAAATGAATGCGTCACGAACGAACCCCAAAGGAGGTCTGCGGTGAGGCTAGATTAATGGTCGTTTGAAACAAACTTGATTGTATGTCTTTTAGGTCCTATCTGTACCATTCCTCGCATTTGATGGGCCACCCACCCCAAAGCTTCGGGAGATTCTGCGATACACGTATTTCTAGTACTAATTGGTTACTAAAAAACGTCTGCTGTGGTTCTGTCTTTTTATCATGAATTGCAGGTCCAGAGCTGTCAGAGGAAACAGTTCCAAAACTTCTGGGCATTGCCAACTTACTGAAGGTTAGTTTGTGCTATTTTGATGGCAGTTGTTTCTTTCCGTAAATTCAATTAGCAATTTTTTACATTGATTATGATAAGGTGATAAGTTTTCCAAACGTTGTTAAACAAGAACTTCGTGTGAAGCCTTTACTTGCTTAAACTGCTTAAATGTTGGAAAAACGTTCAATGTGAAGACTGTGGCAATTGTCTTGCCTAGCCCCTATAGGCGTCATCATTGCACGCGGCCTATACGTTTTTGATCACGTTGTCCGTTCGTCTCGGAAACGTCACCAAAATTCGTTAACCGAGAAGGCCTGGGACTAAGCATGCAATTGTCCTCAGATGAACAAAACAGGGAGCTTTAGCAACGCCAACGGCGACGGCAACGAGAACGTCAAAACAACAACTTGTCACGTGCAACACACGTTTTTGTACGACTTCTTCGACGTGAAATTCTCTCATGCGATGTTTTATGGAGGAGGTTAATTAATTCACCACGACGAATTTTTCCTTCTCTTTCTAGACTTGGTTCGGTCTCCAAGAATTCAATTCCAGTAAAATTCTCCCATATTCGACATTTTAAGCGAGTCGGAATAATCGCGACAAAATTTGAAAAAAAGCGACGTCTTGTTAATAGTGACGTTTTCGCTGCCGTCGTCGATGTGCCCCCTAATATGGGCGTGTTCAGGGCGTGGAGACTATTCTTGAGTAATCGGAACCATAATAAGAAGTTTCGTTGTTATTTTTTTGTTAGCTCTCCAGCGATCAGCTGTATTTAACAGCCATCCGTAACCTTGCTCGACCTTCAGCCTCACAAACTGGCTCTAGTGATACTAACTTGAGTGGAATCACTGCTGAAGAAAAAAGCCAATTGGCCAAATCCTACAATAGTGAAAAGGCTAAGAGTATGCTCTACTCTATCAAAAACAAAGAAATGGCTATCGCTGCTGCCAAGTGGATCGCTCAGCAGCTTCCACTGGGTCTGTACACTGTTTTCCTTGAATGTTTTCCCAAGTATATGCCGGGTAAATGAGCCAATAACACCAATAAGTTGCCTGTCGTTTCTTTCCTAGGTGAAGAAAAAATAGATATACTTAAGACTTGTGTGGATCTTGCAATGGCCTGGAAATCTTCGTGTTCACAGAAGGTGATCTTTTTTAAAATAGAATATAAGTATCCCGCTTGTCCTCATGTTATCATAGATTTGGGAAAATACGTCTTCAAGCAACTTTTAGTTAATCTGACGAAGAGCTGGGTGTTCTTTTTCACAAATGGCTAACGGTTTTGAATTGTCAACTGATTTTTTTCCGTTTCGGTCAACGGTGGCACATGTACTTTTCACTTTGTTTGATCACGCAGTGCATCACTTTAGTGAAAAGCTGACCAGCTTAATTTCACCCACCCAATCCACCTGCATCCACTTTACCCTTACTAACACCCGTATTGTGTCACTTTCTGTAGGATGAAGAGAAAGCAAAGCTTACTCACAGCCGGCTGTTGGAGCTGTGTCGTGGCGTGGCCACAGAACATGTGCTCCACAAGTACAACATCACAGACCCTTCCATTGTTTCATTAACAAGTAAACCAGCTAAGCTTATTTGCCAACTGTATGAGACGTTTGGTGCAAGGGAACCAGGCACTGCTCATCATCCGCCAGGTACTGGCACTGGTGAAACTGTGGGAATTAGAGCTTCTTTCTGTCTTCCATTTTTTCACTGGAATGATTTTTCTCTCTTCCAAACAATTGCCGTCACGCTTACTAACCAAAAGATTCAGTCAACATATTTCAGGGTGGACCTTACTCATTGATTTCTGCTGGAACCATTTTTGTGTAACGTTTTTTCCTTTTGGTATATTTGTCCATATTACTTCTGCTTGATAATGGTGTGGTTAGACTTGCAGGTTTGCATAAATTTTGCCGGTCCAATATGGAATCGCACAGTCCAAGATGGACATTACCTTACCAACGGGGCGTCGATATTGTCTATCCAACATCAGTTTTAACAGCCTCGCAATAAAATTGCCAGTTGAGCCTGATTTTCCTGTTTTTTGGATTTTATCTTAGGTCAATGACTTCAAGTCTATGCAACCTGGTGTCGGTTTTGCAAAGTTTTCTTTTAGAATTTATTTTTCTCATGACTTTTTTTCTCTTGTAGATATCCACAAAGCTTCGGAAGAAATCGCCAATGTCAACAACACTAAAATAGAGAAGATCAGACTGCATTTGATAGAGGTTTGATTATGAAGTCACTATTTGTTTGAATGTTTAAAAGAGATGGTCGGTTCAAAAGGACGAATACTCGTGTAGATTAAATTATTATTCGATTAGTGGTTGTGATCGTCGATCAACTTTTACTTCGTAAACGAAATCATGAAACTTTCTGCTTGACCGTGATTTTAACCCCTGTGCTTTGCGATTTTTAGACGCAACACTCCATTCAATTGAAGTAATCAAGCTATTGAATTCAAGAGCAGCCGAGTTGTTAATATACGCGATGATAGCGAGTTATTGATATGTATAAGAGCCTGCTCTCTAGGCTTAAGAGAGTTACTCTCTCCCCCTTAGTAAGTCCCATAAGTGCTTCAACCTTAAAGTGTAAAATTAGAACCGCTTTTACTATCTTTGCAACCACCCTTTAAGGCTTGGTATATCCTACAAAGGCTTTGCCACAGATTGCCTATGTTTCTGGTTCAGAATGATCAAAATATGTTGTTCCTTTCCTTCATAGAAATGGTTACCTTCTTCAAGTCAATCTTCAGGAGGAGACACAGAGGTATTTTTAAAACAAACTGGAAATTGCAATTTGGGGCAGAGATGGTCTTTGAGGTTGCACATTTATGCTGTCACAATAACCCCTTATTGTTATTCTTTATTGGGGATCGAACCGTAAATCACTTTTTCCTCTCTGTACAATAGTTAGTTTGTCTATCTTGCAACTTGTTACCAATGCAAAAAGTACTTATAACGTTAATTCTTTGATACCTTTGGCGGCAATCTCTTGTTTCTTCAAATTAAGTTCTTTAGTGGCAATTAAATATTTTACTTTCTGAATTTTCACCAAAGTCGTGACCATTCCAAAAAATCAGCGATATGCATTCGATGTTTCAACGATGATTTTGTTTCTGCCGGTAAATCAGTGACCCCATTTATTTACATAACCTTAAATTATTCTTTATCCTTAGTTTGGCCCCCCTGGCGGCGAGGGTAGTGATGAGAATGAAGAAGACGAACACAACTTAAGAAGGTATAGTGTCATTCTAAACAACCCATCTCAGTTTTTTTTCGCGTTCTGACAAAGGCTACGTTAAAGGAGGAACTCGGTCCATAAGCCATGCCAGTTTGTCGGGCACCAAAGTGCATGGTCTCCGCCCTTATCTTTGAAAATAGGTCTCAGATATTTGCCTGACTGTTTCATTGTCGGGTCTATGCAGCCCACTATTATTTCCCACCGTGACGTCATTGCCCCCTCCCCAACCCCTTTGGAAGAAACGCTGGTTATGGAATTTCTGTTTTCTTTTTCTTGTTGGTTTTTTCAAGGGTGATATATATCATGCAAAGCACAGACCAACAAACTGCTGTCAGATTTCTACTCAATCTTGCTAACAAGGTGAGATAATTGAACTTAAACAATTTTTCATTTAATTTTCGAGTGTATTTTCACAGTAACATAATTAAGCGGTGACATACATGTAGATGATGGACATAATGGTCGAGTCGCTGTAGAGAAAATATGTATGTCATACCTGAGAACTAAAATAGCTTGACTGATGGTCAGTTATCAGGCTCTAACAATACGACAGACTGACTACATTACTAACACTAACTACAACCACACTGCATTACCATTCTGAAACTACACTATGGTCAAACACCATCACTAGTAACATGGTAAACGTTTGACACTAGAGTCATAATTCGATGTTTTAACCTCCAAAACGTGGTTATTCTAACCCCGAGTTATCCTTTTGACTTGGGCTTGTTACCCTTCAAAACGCGAAACGTTGAACTGCAGGTATAAGACCATGGTGTAGTTGCATTATTTCTGTCCTTTCTTTTCATATACCTTTCTCTTTTTTTGCTATTGTAGACGGGTTCGTCAAGTACCTGTCGTGTCCGTGCTCTTCGTGCTTTATTCTCCATTGCTCCTGGAGAGTTTATTGAAAAGCTTTGTAACACATCAATATCTGTAATCAGGTGAGAAACAGACCGTTAAATAGTTATCAACAGGCTACTTTTGATTTATACCTCAAAATTATGTTAAGTGCCTCCTTCCACAGAGAAAGGACAAAATGTCAAGGTGAATTCTTGGACATTTTGTTGTGATTTACGGAAATGTCACCAACAGTACTTTCCTCTTTAGAACATTTGTATAAATGTTGCTTCTAGAACGATTTGGCCATTAAACTTTATTTTGAGTAAAACGTCTTGACACACGGTAGCGTTGGTTTCACAAAGCTCTTGTTGGTAGGCACCTTGTGCATCGAGACACGAATTTTATCATTATGTATTGCACAATATCTGACGTCAGTACATTAAGTTTCCTCATGATCTGTCCTCATACACCACGTACCTAACGCTCGTATCTTGTCGCCACTGACAGGCAACAAATGCAGGCCCTGGTTTGCCTGGCGGAACTTGAAGGACTGCATATCCAGCAGTCGGCTAGTGCCTTTGACAAGTGTAACAAAGAAGGACTGGTGCGAGGATTGTGGAGAAATCATAAACACGAGAGAAAGGTCTGTTATACCTTTTACAACAACAACAACAAACTATATTGATAAACAAATAATATTACAGAAGCATTGCCTGCACCTAGCAAAGCCATTCGAGGCGGGACAATGCGTGCAAAATATGAAATTAAGTCAAGACTAAGGCTAACCAAGGAACGTTTACGCTTGGGTTTCTTACCTTAGTTTCTCTGTTCCGGCCATAGTTGAAAAATGGTTAAAAGATTTAGTAGAAATTTAGTAAGAAGCCGGGAGTGATCGAGAACTCGTCCGACCAGTACGCACTCGGGACCAGTCTCCAGTAGAGTCTTGAAAAATCCTCGAATTCTATTCTCCCGAGAAAACATTACTTCATTTTGTCCATTGGAAAGAGGATTTATCAAGGATTCGGACGTCGATATTTCAAGTTCTTTAATATCATTCATCCCTAAACAGTATTCTTCCAATATGGTTTACATGTTATCGTTAGGCTCAATTAGTGCATCCTTCACTGGAAAACAGTTGACAACTCATTTGTATAAAGTGCGACTGCCTCTGGCGTTAAATACCTGTTAATTAGCAAGTATAATTATTGTTTTAATGTTATGTAACAGCCTCAGTTCTTCTCTTTAATTAACCTCCCACTGAATTATTTGGTAACCTGTACTGAAAGATCTTAATACAAAAAATTAATCGTAACGTCTTAAATTGGAGAAAACTCCTAAAAGAGGGATCGTTAGCAACAGCAAGACACACCGATACAAGAACCAAGAAAACATCTTTGTGTTATGCTATCCTTTTCAGGCCGTTCGTCTTGTAGCAGATTTGTGTCTGGATAACAGTATACACGACCCACAGCTATGGAACAGTGTTCTTCAACAATTGCTGGCTTTTGGAATGGTAAGTGATCCCACCCCACCTGATTAGCTGATAAACTGTGAGGTCGATATGGACTGTCTCACTCGCTGGCAGGCTGACTAACAGACCACTGTAGCAGGATAGAAAAGCTGATCTTTGGCGCTATAGCTCGTAACCAGAGCGAATCGCTACGGTGGCCAATCTACCTTATCAACTCCAGTGATAAAATCAAATGTTTTATCTTTGTATTTTACTCCCTTCCCCCCCTCCCTCCGCACATCGACTCAGCACCACAGTTTTTTTAGAACCTAAGCCCTTCATTTAACTGACAGACCAGCTGATCAGTTGTCGGACATAATGCGTGACTGGTTGACTGACTGAGTGGATGCTGAAGACAGGATCCATACACTAGACTTAACAGAGCCCATCCGCGGAGATCCAGGGGAGGTCAGCGGTCAGTAGGATGAACAGAACCTTCGATATGAAGAAAGGTCAAGAAAATAGTACACTTGTATGGAACTGCAAAAAAAACCGAAGTGTCGTTAAAAGTCTTAGTTTGATCGTGTCGATTTTCTTCTCTTGCTTTTAGATAAAATATCTTAGGCGTGTTCTAGTAAACTTAGCAGGGATCTCGGAGCTTTGGCAGGTGAGTGTTGAGGGATAAACACTGCCCTATGAATTCTCCAGTGCTAAATTTGGCCAACTGTATTTGTTATTGTCGCTTGAGTAAAATGTTGGGAGTCACCATGTTCTCAGAAACCTCTATTTTCATCGCCCTTTGAAAAAAAGACACCTGTTTTTTGGGTAGCGACATTGAGTCAGTCATCCAATGTTTTTCGTTTTTTTTTTTTTATCCAATAAGACAACTCTTTCACCATTTTCACATTGCCCGTAATGAACCTCTACTAACAGTACTAACGGCCACCTTTTCTCGACGACCACTATTTTTGTCTCGGCCAATAGATTTACTCACCTACCCCTCCCCTAACCAATTGTTAACACTGCTTTCTCACAAAGGGCAAAATTTTGAATTAGGGGAAGGGTAGGTGGACAGTTTCCTAGAATATTATATTTATCCATCGAATGTGTGACTGCCTACTCCGTTTAGGTTCGTTGTTTACCTCAGGTGTGGAGGAGTGTTTTGACGGCACCTTTCAAGTCAGGTAAGCCATGGCATACCGGATTACTTGGAGATTTTCTGCGGTAGAAATGTGATCAGATGTTATTGGCCTGCAAATAAAAAGGAAAAAAGAACGTGCGCTTGAAACGTAAGAAAAAGAAACGAACAGAACAAAAAAATTAATAAATAAAGACGTCTCGTTTATGCAAGCCAAAGGTTGTTTGTTTACTGGCGACGGAAACTCGCTGATCATTTCATAGTGGTGTGACTGAGTTCCATATGAATTTTCACTTTTTTTTTTCACCCCATTCGTTTTTGACTGGGACAAATGAACTTACTCAGTCATTTGCTGACAACTCGCTTTGTTGCCTAGCTGGCAGAATATTGCACCTTTACAGTGAAGGTTATAGGTTTGTTACACTGACAAATGTCTTCGTTGTGATTTTACTTTATTTCAGTTTCGTCTCCGTTATCCGACGAAGAGGTGATTGCTTGCGAAGAATCTGCATCGTTACTTCAAAGGTGTGTGATGTTTTATTGTCAAGTGTTTCCTTCCTCATCAAAATTCCCATTATATTTTTTTTAGTTTGTTTTCAATGGGCAACAAAAATTTCCGGACATTTTACACTTTACGGACAGTTTGTAGCCAACTAAAATAAGTCCAGTGTTAAAAACTGTCCGACCAAATGTCTGAAGGTACATTGTATATATATGGAGGATACCTTTTGTCCTGGTAGATAGGGAACAAACGTTTTCTGGAAAGCCACCCAAGGAAAACTGCAATAGATTGCTTCACGAGGCATCTATGCGTGGCAATTTCCTGGCGCACATGTAATTGACCTAATAAGTGGCCCTTTCTACCTTTGCTTTAGCCTGCGGCGGCGCACATGTAATTGACGGGCGCGCGCGAGGGAGACATAAGGGGTGTCTCCCTTCTCGCGCGCCCTTTGCCCACCTTTGCGCCTGCTACGCAGGCTACCTTTGCTTGAACACACGCTTAACCTCCACGCTTACTTGGCGTTTAATGAGTGAATGAATGTTTTAATGATTTCTTTCGTCTTTCAGGTGTCCTCTGCTGCTTGATCTGGATGTGTATTCCATAGCTGTTCAGTTTCATAAAGTTGGTCTCCAAGCCCACGCTCTCGCCTGTCTGATGCTCATCCCATCAAGCACTGCGCGCCAAAAACATGTTCAGGTTTAACCCGTCTTCTGGTTTACCTTTTTATTTGGTCAAATTTTGCTGTTGTCATTTTATTGTATTCGCAACTGAGAAGGCAGCATGTCCGATTCCAATTGGCTTCAACAATCATAAACTATTTGTTCTTGTTAAACTTACTTATTTGGGCAGTTCTGCATACACGGTTCAGGTAAAGAAGAAGAGTTCTTTAACCGGCAAGGTGTGTTACAGCTATTTTCACTATTTTCCCTTTGTTTTTTTGAAGCTTTTACCCTTTGTTTTTTGTAGACCTTACTGGAGACAAACTGCGTTACTCGTGTACTTACTCAGTTGGATGAACTACGGCAGAGAGGACGCACTATTACCCAGGCTGATATTGTAAGCCGGAGACTATTTTGTTGTTAGAGCACTTCAGTTCTTTTAGCACACGTGGTTAAATGGATTCGCTACTTAGAAACGAGCAGGAAACTGGAGCCGAAATGTGTCAGCCCGCAATTGTTTCTGGGATAGTTACTAGGGACGCGCCAGTCAGCTATTGGCCAATTTTATCCGTGTCGCCAGTAACAGACCCAGGAGTACTTGCGAACTGTAACTTGGCCAAGTTTCCTCTCGGTAAGTGTGGTGGTGTTTATGTTTCTGTACGAAGTCCGTGGAAGAAATTCTCATGTGTGTCTAGTCAGATGTAGTCAAGTCAATTTAAGTCAATTTTTATCTAAACTGTTACTCAGCAAGAGCTGATATTTTTACTTGATTGCTTATGTCTCCAGGTTGAACAAGAAGTGTTCAAACATGTCGAAGAAAAGCAAGAGTATCAGGTCAGAAATGAAATGTACTGCCACGTAACCTAAATGAATAAAAAGTAAATAACGAATGATTGAGAAGTAGCACACCTTTTGAAACTTGGAAACGTTGGTTTTGAGGGGAATAGAAAACCAGAGTAGTCGGAGAAAAACATCTTGTAGCAGAGAGTAGAACCGACAACAAATTCAACCCTCCTTTGGCGTTGCTTCCTGGATTCGAACCCAGGCCACATTGGTAGCAGGCGAGTTAATGCTGTCAGCTCTGCGCGTAGGTTAGCACTGTACCTGTAATTAGTTGATAAGATCAATGCGGATGGACTTTTTTCTGAATCTTCTTGGTCTTTTTCAGATCCTGCTTGGCACATCGTACTTTGACAAGTTCCTAAGCTTCCTTATTGTTAATAAAACCATAACTGGTATACTGCTAAAGACGATACAAGCCAATAGGTATTTAATTCGCATTTTATAAATTGTCTTACTGTTTGTCTCACGATGCAGTCGCCTGAGATGTAAATCGCGACTTTCGGCTGCTTTCTGCTAGTCTTTATCACGCGGCTAAGTCGACTGATCCTTTGTCACCTTGTGTATCACTTTGGTCAGCTGGGCTTGATGCTCTCTTGAATGACATGCATCCTACATGCTGCAGTATTAGTCCAAAAAGTGTCGTATTTGTCCAACAACATTCGGCCAAGCTCCTGTATGCCCCCTAAAAGAAATTTAGAATCCCTTTCAGCGCTTGTATGCGTTAACCGCGCGACTCGACTATACAGTGAGCTCGCCCCGTCTTCTTTAGGAAGCTTGAGAGTTAAGACCCAGCATAGAACTTACTTAAACAATTGAGGTCAGGATATAATGTTGAGGAAAATGATCTTTGACGCACCACTTACTGGGTAGATTATTAAAGCCAAATTGAAAAAAAAAAATGTAAGAATACCTGTATAGAAAAGAATCAATACTTTGAGCTTTCTTGTTATTTTAGGCTGGAGAACGCAATGCAGCTTGTTCGTTTGTTTCATCAAATGCACCCCGATGAACCTTCCGCTGAATATACCGCTTCTAACCAGCTGAGCGGGTTTGAAGAACTTTGGGTAAGTCTAGGGTGATGTGGTCATGGAAACCATCAGACACCAATCGTTGCGTGCTGTTAGAGTATTTTATCGTTTATATTCAGGAGACTTGCAGCATGTTTCTCTAAGGGTGGATTTCCACGGTCGCGTAAAATTTACGCGCCTAAATTAAATATAGGCGATATATGAATGTTCGCGCGTAAACGTAAGAGTTGAGCGAAGTTGAGCTTTTACGTTTACGCGCGACATTCCATACATTGTCTCTATTTTATTTGCGCGGGTAAAATATTACTTGACAGTGGAAATCCTTCCTCTGTCAGTCAGTAATAATAGAACAGAGGAAATAATTCTGAAAAGGAAATCAATCATGTTTCTAATGACCGTTAAATTTTATGAAGTTCTTTTAATTTCACGGTTTGAAGATAAACACTCCTTCTCGTGTTTGATATCACATAAAATGCCTACATCTTAACTACCAACGTCACTTGAGCGCAGTAATCAAGGTATAGTCCTTGAAACAAAGAGATACGTTTGAGAGCAAGTTATCTTCGTAAGTTGCCTTTTAATTTTTCTCCCCAATACAATTTACATTGTAATTTCTCCGACCTTACATAGCCAGAATATCTCCACATCGTAGGCCAAAGATTATTCACTTTATCCCGGAGAGCGCCAAGAAAGAAAATAAGATGTAATGCTGTAAAAGAGTTTGCACCGACGGGAAATAGTTCTTAAGAGGATTTATTTGAATAACCAAAGTAAAAGAATTTGAATCACCACCTGAAAAGTTGGAACCTGTGTTACATGTTGCCTCGGCTAGTCCCAGACCTTCTTGGTCAGTGCATTTCGGTGACGGACCACGGTCGGGCCACGTGACTCGAAACGCATTGGCCACGCGGAATAATGAGGCCTTGTGACATGATCAATTCTGAGCGCGCCCTCGAAAAATAGGCCGAATTAGTGTCCGGTCTCGGCTTTTCTAATTATAACCTATTATTTTAAATAATAAAGAAGTCTTGTTTTCTCACAGACTTTCCTGGAGATGCACGGCATGCTAGAGGCATGTCTACCGTTTCTTCCTAAGATGGAATATGAGCAAGAAGAGGAGTATACAGAACAGCAGTCCCAGTCCCTTCTGGTTGAGAAAACCGAGGTAACTATGGAAGAGACTGGCATCGAAGGACAACACGAAACCTTTAGTATTATGTTGACTGGCGACTGCAGTGTGGAGTTTCCGCTTTAACAGAACTATGAACACTGGGATAAATTAAGGTACTGCAGTTATGCAGTTATATGCAGTGTATATTTCATCAATCGATATTTCAGTAGTTCCACATTTTTCGTGGAAAACTCCTGATACAAGGTTTATAATCCTTCCAAAAGAACACTCGCTATAATAAATCACTTCATTCTTTATTCAACAGTACTTTTCATTGCAAAGAAATTTGAGCTTGAATTATAAAAAGCGAATTCTAAATAAATAACCATTAAAAAAGATATTTACAAACATGATTGAGAAGGTACGAAAATATTTATAACAAAAATATACAGTTTGCCATTTAAATATAATATGACCAACATGATCTGTTATTAATAATATTCAACTTTTTGTGCTCTTCCAGTCAACGTTGTTGTTCTTTGTGTCTTCTTTTAAGTCCTCACAAAGAGTTAATGGTTTCTTATTGTACGTTCTATTGGTCAACAAAGATTGTATGTAAACACAAAGATGGATTGCGAGATCTAGAAGAATAGAAGACGGACGCGTGAATTTGGCAAACAGATCAATAAAACTTTACAATAAATATTTGTTGATGATTTTCTGTTTCTCGTCCGGACTTGTAAAAATGAATCAATTCTTTGGAATGTGCCTGCGGTATGTAAGTACTATATTTTGTTCAAGAAATCGCGGAGAAAGATAAATATCATCAAATCTCTCTGAAACGAGTCATAATATAATACTTATTACGGAGCTTAAGCAAAGACGTTTTTGAGTGAGGCTTGTCAAGCTGAAATGAGGTCTTTTCCCTTTTAATATGCCTTGACGCTACCAAATTTGAATTGCTAAGCTTCTTTACTCTTATAAAGACTATTTACCCGCAAATTTGGGCAAAAACAATGTCTAAGAATGCAAAACTTGCACTTCCGGTTGACATGCGTCGCTCAAGAGTCGTCTTGGTTAAGCTCCCTATATTCACTAACGTAATCTGGTGTTCTTGCGACATGAGTCGATTACAAAAGGTTAGCCAGCCTGCAAGAAAGCTCTCAACGAATGGGAGGGACAAGGGAGCATCACTGCACCCTCTCCTGGCCCAACCCAAATCCCCAACTGAGAGAACTTACTTGCGGGCCAACACAAGGCTACATGATGGTACAAAGAGAGCTGGTGATTTTCTCAGTTCCTAGCTTATGCCTTCCTTCGGTCCCTTCTCTCTGAGCCCTCTTACCCGAAGACCCTTTAGAAGCTTTCATTCCATTCTCCTTGGTTCCTTTCCCAGAGTCTGAACTTGTTGTGTTTTTAGTCCCTAAAGAATCGCTTGAATTTCCCCGTGGAACCCTGACACCTGAGGATACTGATGGGCACGGTGCTACCGCACGGGACGGTCGCATAATTCGGCATGGCCGTGCATTGCGCATGTCTTGTGTGGTTTTCCGCATTATCTCGTCAACTGAAACACTATCCGCACCTATCTCTGCCGTCTTTCGGGCAAGTTCCAACTGTGTTTCCAAGTGTTTTGCTCGCTGTTGAAGCCGCTTGCTCTCGTTTTCAGAGACACCAAGCTGAGAAAGAGAAAAAAATAACACTATGTTAATCCAAGATGACACTGTGTAATCACAGAGGAAAAAACCTTGTTATGCGAACTTTGCGAAGAAACTCTCTATATCAACAAGGTAGCGTTTACTCAGAGTTTGATTTCAGATAGCAAGGCCATGACTCGCACCCTACTAACGTGGCCTGGGTTCGACTCAAACCGGTGTCAGCTTACATGTGGGTAGAATTTTACTGGTTATTTCCCTTGCTTTGATTGAAGTTTTTGATTTATCCGCAAAACCAACACGTAAATTAACATTCAGTCTTTTAAACGAGTTGTGACAAGCTTATTCGGTGTTTAGTGGCCACACAAATCATATTGCAAGTAAACTGCAACCACGAGTCTCAGCATCTGAACACTGCCATGAACACCCGAATGATTGAGCCCTTTCAGAAGAAGCAAACGGTACACGATTATCAGGTTTCTACAAAACCTGATTATGGTCATTGAGAACCTCGAGAGTAATCTCTACAAGTCAAATACCTTCTCTCTAAGCTCTGTGAGCTCTTCATCTTTATTTTCACATGCTTTCTTTAAAGTAAAAAGTTCTTCCAGAAGTTGGCGATTCTGTGACTTCACTTCCTCTATTCTAATATCAACTCCTTTACTGGCAACACTTGCTCGACTGGCGCTCCTGCGGAAATGTTAAAAAAGAATCATTCTAATAAACTTACTCCCAATTGCAAAAACGTTATCATAGAAAAATGAAAAAAGGAAAAAGGCAAATAGGAATTAATTTATTAGGCTTATAAGCCTAATGAATTCATTTGCAGCATCCGCACATGGATGTCATATTTGTCTGTTGGAATTTGCTATCGTTTTAAAGCTCAAAAACAGTAAAAGAAAATTCCAGCGGGGAAATGCAACGGCTGCAAATGAATCCACCCTAACAATGGGGCTTAATTAGCCTAAATAATTCCTATTTGGCTTTTTCCATTGTTCCTTTTTCTAAGGCCATATCCACCACACGAATCCGGACATTTTTGAAACCGCATACTTTTTATCTGGATTCATGAGGATGGGGCCTTAAACCGGTCTGGAGAGAGTGCCTGGATTCACTGGTTTCGTGTGGACAGACTGGGCCGATTCGTGTGAAAAATTATGCGGTTTCAAAAATACCGTAAAATTCCGAAAATAAGCCCCGGGGCTTATATTTTTCAAAGGCCCTTTTTGAGAGGCTTATTTTTGGAGGGGCTTATCTACAGAGGGAAATTTGCGTTTTGAAATCGATTGGGCTGGCCTTATAGTTGAAAGGAAATTTACTGTTTTTGCTTTGTTTTACTTTGTATTTGAGGGCAATTTTCCATGTACAAGCCCCCGGGGGGCTTATATTTGGAGGGGGGATTTAACGGAGGGTTTTTTGTGTTACCGGTTTGGGGGGCTTCTATTTGGAGGGGCTTACACATGAAGGGGCTTATTTTCGGAATTTTACGGTATCCGCATTCGTCTGGACGTAGCCTAAGGCAACGTGATTGTAATTAGGTGTAACTCTGTCACCCATAAAGAGCGTTTTCACATGACGTCACTTCACCGATATTGTTATTATCACTAGAGGTAATCGTTGATTACGGATCCGCGTTCGTCACTTACGAAAACGAAATCGAGTCAAAAGGATTCTAGTTTCCCGGCCGAGATGCCCCTTATAAAATTAATAGAGGCGGCTAATTTGCAGTCGCCCGCGATAGCTCGAAAATTTCTGCCTTTGTGCCACAGGAACACCAGATTAGGATGCGCTCTGACGAACGCGATTATATTGGTTTCCCAAAAGAATAAAACAGCGGCCATGTTGGTTGGTATTCCAAAACATCCTGTGCGAGTTAAACTCTCTTCTTATGTAAAAACTTTCTTTTGTTCCAATAAATTTGCATAGCCCTTGCTCACGTGATAAAAACGCTATATTATCGAATTGTGTTTCCTCCGCACTGTTTATCACTCATTTCAAGTAACGAAGAAAATCATGATATTTAATTGACAAAATATTTATTTATTTACTTATTTATGTTCCATACAAATTTGATAGCTCTCTCATACCTTGTTTTCGGGGGAGGGGTTGGTGGTGAGTATACATACCTTGATCTCAGGGGAGGGGTGGAGACCACCATGTCCTCCTCAGAACTATCACGTATCAGTTGGTGTTTATTTAGAAGCTTTGATTTTTTCGTCTCCAGTTCCTTAGCTAAAACGTCCAGTTCCTATAATGGAAAAAATAACATTACCTTGCCTCATTACGTTACATTACGTAGAAGAGTTTTGCGAGTTTTGAACACAAAACCCAATTTACGAGATCTTACGAGTGAGTGAATAATGAAAACGTTCTGCAGTTCTAAATTTCCAGTCTGTGGATGTAATCCTATGATGCTACCATTTTACACGAGAACTGTTTGGAAGAAGTGTTTCTTTTTCAGCGCCTTAAATCTTACAAGGTTAAGGAACAGCTCCTTTAAAGACCGACGAACAAGATTGCATCCGTGAGACGCCCGACGTCTTTTTGCTCATCCTTATATGTTTGTGGAAGAAGAGTATCAGGAGAATAGACAACTTACGTTTTGTAAAATATTTAAATCCTCTTCTTTACTATTACACACGTTGTGGCGCCTGTTCAAGTATTCTTCGTATTCACGAATCTGAAACGTGATAAAACAAGCCCATTAGAAATGGCAGTTACAACTGGCAGTTAAGCAAATATAGCAGAAAACCTACCCTTGATAAAAAGCTCCGTTCAACGCAACCGGAAAAACCTAGTACTCAGGGAATACCTAACCATCATAATTGGATCAGAACTTACGGTTTCCTTGTCACCTTTTTAAACTATTGTTACTAACATAACGAAAACGGTTCTAGCTTCCTCCAACTCATCTCGCGCGCTTTGCCGCGCACAATGTCTTCAGCACTTTCTTTCGCTTCTGACAAATTCATTAGTTGGATTGCGAAATATTTCTTGAAAAACCGTAAACTGTGCAATCTTTTTCAGCGAAACGAATCAAACCTTTTTTACCTCTTTATCTCGTTCCCGAACTTCTTGTGTTCTTTGATTGAGTTCTTTTTCCATTTGGGTTATTGACGCCTGCATAAAGAATATGAAATAGTTATCTTAAAATGAACTTTACAAACAAAGCTAAAATATTCAAAACGACTTCACTTAAAAGTCCAATCAGTGTAATTTAAAAGCACCCTGAAAAGATGGTGTCGCCCTTACAACAAGAAATAATTACCACGGCTGAACTAATTTAATGCATCTCTAGTTGTTGAACTACTTCGCAACATTTCTGTACCTCGTGTTCATAATATCTTTGTCTTCTCTCCTCAAGCTTCTTTTCATTCCTAAATTCCTCAAGCTCTTCTTCAAATTGTTTCCTAAAAAAACAATTAATCAGTTTTCTTGAAACAATAGCAAAAAACAAATTGTCGATTTATTTCCCACAGTACAAATATTGGCAAATTTAACCGAATTTTACATAAAATCAAAGTAATTTCCTGGTGACCATTTAGAGAAAAAACGTCTCTTCCTCCTTTCCTTTCCTTCGGACAGAGTTGTTTTGACTCCACTGCCGCTGGAAACGCATAGCGAAAAACGCTGAAAAAATTTGTTAAGTACCCGTGGGTACCTTCAATTTGAAATGGTTTGGCCTTTGTCTCTGGTCTGTTTACGGAAATTGCGGCATGCTTAACACGATTTCTTCATCCTCTACAACTTACGCATCAAAGACATTTCTGTGCATTAAAACTGATTACAATGACGTCACAAGTGGTACAAGGATCGTGGTACCACACAGGCGGTTACAGGTGTTTCAGGAATAAAAAGTGTTATACTTTCTTCAAGGAGGTTCTGAGGGTGTCCACACAGACAATTAGAACTGGTTCCCAAGATTGTTCGACCAAGAAAAAGGTCAGTGTATTGATAATTAACTCTTTGTTGCATGCGGTCATGTCTAGTATACATTGCGCTGGTGCCGGTTATTATTTTTTTAAAGGCCACGCGAAGGGGAGGACTCCTCTTCTTTTCTCCCCTCGCGCGTCCTTGAGATTACTTCCCTAGCGCTAAAAAACAAACCAGCGCCTGCTAGGTAGGCTAACATTGCTCTTACTTTTGTTCTTCTCTCCGTCTATCAATATCTGCCATTTCGGTAATATACTGCCGTCTTCTTTGCTCTAACTCTAGTTGTAGCTTATTCATCTGTAATAAAAGCAAAACAAATCCTGATAATTTATACGCCAGAAGCTGATAAAAGGTGGGCCTTTTTTCAAAGTGAATAATATTGTGGTACTACGTAATCAGAGTTTCTGTAGAAACTGTTTACTCTTTCCACTTGGTTACTGAAAATGAAGGTTTACTGCAAGCTTTGTTGTCTCAGGTGGGGAAAAAACCTACATGTCCATGTCACAGGAGGCTTGTAGCTTAGGAGCTCTTTATGCAAATGGGGAAAACACATCTGTGTAAATTACTACAGCTGCGTGTCAGTACACTCTACTGTCAACTTGGATAAATGAACCTCCCTCTAAAGGCACGTTTTTTTACAACACAACTTTAAGTTTCCTTAAGTTCAGTACCTCTTGGTTAGTTTCCTGTCTGGCTTTCTCAAGTTTTAAGGTCATGCTGCTCATATCCTGCTCAAAAGAATCCCGCCTTTCTCTGAGAGATGACTCCATCTCAAGAATCTGCATTGTTTTGAAATGAACAAATGATGTGTAAACTAAAATGACGACATTAAGTCTAAGTTGTGTTAAAGTCACTCAAAACGGTATAAAATTAGTGCTGGATCCAGCCAAACTGAGGCCCAAAGGGCTGATAAAAATCTTTTTGGGACCTTTTATCTCAAGGTTTGGATCTGGCACTGAAAATGCCTCTACAATGACAGGCAAATAAAAATGTGTGAGGCTCAGCCCAGGACCAAAATGTTCATAACCATGAACTTACTTTCAACTGAAGTACGTTGAAACTAGTCTGTGTACAGACAATGCCTTTTTTTAGCGAGGGAAGGGTGTGTCTGTACACAGGCTATGTTGAATATGTTGAAACCTGTTTCATCCCTGTTAAGTCCCACTATCCACATACAAAATCTCCAAACTGATCTCCATACATTTCCTTTAAAACTTAGTTGAGAGAATTTCAAAACATTTCCCTTTGGTGATCATCATCTTATAACAGTTTTTAACCTTTTATTTTGATGATGTATGGATATTGTGTTGAGAAAATTGATGTGGGACACTTAACCCTTAAGCCGACACCCACAGAACAGTGACTAGTGTCACATAACAAAGGTGTCTGCTAAAATTATACAGGTTTGTTTTACAGAAAATATGGGAAGAATGGTGTAAAACTTACACTCCTATCATTTACATACAGAGTGTGTACTTAATATGGGGGTCACTTAATACAAGTTTTACTGTTAATCTTGAGATAATGGCAAATTAATGTGATAAATATTTATACTGTACTTGTACGTTGTAAATGTGCATGAAACAGTCTGATGCATCAAGCAGTCAAATAGTCTCTCTTGCAGCCATTTTTGTCATGTCACGCAATGCTCCTCCCCAACAAACTCGGGAGGAGTGTTAAATGACTAGACAAAAAATGCTGAAAGGGAGACTCGCAGTGGAACTGCATTTTTACATCTTGCATTAAAGCTATTTCAAACATGTCTCACCTGTGTTCTGAGGTCAGGCAATCTTTTGTCCCCATATTTATCATTCTGAGTGTCTTTGTGATCAAGTGTTCCATTAGTCATATTTTCTTCAGTAGTCCCATTGAGTCCAGTTATTATATTTGCGGTGCCTTTTAATGTTACTGGGTTTTTGCTTGTATTTGAAACAGTAGTGTTGTTGTTAACCTCAGAAGAAGGATTACTTTTATCAACTAAATAGCCATTTTCTAAAATAGAGTCTTCTTCACTAAGTTCAGGATCATTATTGTCAGTCGATTCCTCATCGCCGTCATTAGAATTGTCATCATCACCATCACTTTCATCACTATCATCGTCATCATCATCCTCATCTTCATAACTTTCACTGCTTTGAAAGTTATAATCTACAAAATTAATATTGTTCATGAGGCTGCTCTCGTCATCAGATGACTGAGCATAACTGTAAAAATGTTCCCTGTTTCGTTCCATGTTAAAGCGGACTTGTTTCTTGACTGGAGCACCCTTTACAAAAAAGGAAAACATATGGAAATTAATACACATGTAGTGGGTAAGTTGATGCTGTAGTTAAATGTTTTATTCCTGGCCTTATTTCAGATCCTTTGATGGTCACAGTAACAGAGTTTCCCCATGCTCTACTTTTGGCATAACTTTACCTTTCGAAAACCATTTTTTGATGTCTGTATTTTGTCAGCTTCTTCCAGCAGTGTGTCCAGTTGTGAGTCTGAAGAGCACTATAAGAAAAAGGGTTAATATTATTGACTTCTGTAGAGTTTTCTGCATTAAACAGCTGCACGTCTCATCATTTACACAATAATGTAATGTTTTTGTAAAACAGTGATACAAAGCATCTCTAAACTAAACCCCAAGCAAACTATTACACCTGTTATACTACTACATGAGAAATTTCTGCAATTTGATTGGCTAAGAGCAGTAGTATTTCAGCTTAATTTGAAATACCTACACGTGAAAATTACAAACGTGTTGTGGGTAGTAGTATAAACAAATAATAGCATGATTTGTGCGTGACATTTGGCATAAATACCACTAATGATATTTCAAAATTGTCTCAAATTTCACTCGCCTAACAGCTGGTGAAACTACGTATAACAATTTTGAAATATCACTCGTGGTATTTATTCCAAATATCTCTACAAATCATGCTATTACCTATACAAATGGTATGTTAATTGCAGACACCAAAAAATTGTTTTTAAATGAGTAACATGATTGTTAGTGTTATTGTTGGGACAAAAACGGGTAACTAACCTCTGAGGAAGAGCGGTATTGTCGGCCAAGAAATTCAAAGTCTCCATTAAGAAGTGGCTTGTGATTTAAGATAAGAGGATCCTTTACCATTCCACGGGTGGTTTTATTGTAACCCTAAAAATGGCAAATTATACAGGATTGTTAAAATAATTTATTTATTACTATGCTACTAACAAATGCCTAAGAACTAAGGGTAAGTTAATGTATGTGTATTAACCTGTTAACCATTCTCTACATGAATAGAGGCGCAAATGGTTATCCTAAAAAATCATGGATATTATCCAAAACTTAGATCAGATCGCATAATTTTAATACATGCACCTTAGAAGCAGTTACGTTTTATGTGCATGAGCTATTTTGAATGCTTCAGTGTAACAGTGTCGGTAATCTACTGTTTTAATCCTAAATTTAAACTATGTTTTGTGCAAAATTGGGCATTGCTGTACATTAATGAAAACCAGAACTGCTGTGCATAGCTGATTCAATGCTCATACTACAGATTCACTCTTAAACTTTTCGTCTGCAGAGTGGAATTTTAAACAAGGATCTCGGTGTTTCAGCAGGTATTGAATTTATATTCCACCTCTGAACAGATATCAGTAATGACTGGACGAAATGGATTTCATCTCAAATAAGTAACAGGGCACTATCATGAGGGCAATAGCTACATAGCCAAGCAGGTCAAAAAGAAAGGAAACGAAAGTGTTTTAAGATTGAAATAAAAATTTAACATCAGTGAACCAAGAATTACACGTAGCAGTGCAAGCTGCGCATAAAAAAAAACATTTTAACTCTAATTAACATCTTTGCATGCACAAGAGAGACCGTTATTTATTTCCCACTTAAGATGCATACAACTATTCATAATTTCTGCAAATACAATTAGTCGGGAAGATTTCTGCAAGCTTGTTTCCGTTAGAGTTAGTCCAAAAACAAAACAATGGTTTTAGAATGCTATTTTGAAGTCCTCATAATTATGTATATCGACAAACGCTTTCATTCAATATGAGATTACTTAATTTAAAGTACCACAGACGACTTCACCATTTTCACAAAATTAACTTAAGTGCTTTAAAGTCCGTACCTACAATGTATCGTTGTAAATAAGAACGAATTTTTCACTAACAACTGATACTCAAGGCTTAAAAAAATAACGTTGTTTATTTATCACACAGACAGCTCTTACGCCTAATTTCAGATCTTTTGACTCACTCCAATATAATTCTCATTTCTTTCAATGATCATCTTGCTCAAATTACCATGACAAAACGTGTCACAATTGCAGGTATAGAAGAGTGGATTTTATCGCTAATATTAACAATAATATCCCCATGTACTACTTCTAGGACTACAGAGATGGTAAATGGTGGCGAGAATAGTTCAATAGCTTGAACACAAAGAAAATGCCCTTGGCCCTGTCAAATTCTGTGCAAGGAGTGTGACAGAACGACATAAATCACATCGAGAGCACCGTTTACGTTGTCAACAAAAAATATTAGAACCCTTTTACACACTGTCGCAAGATGATTCTTTCCACAGAAGCCATCCAATAATTTCTTTTCATTAAAAATGACATGTCTTGGTAGTTAAATATATGATATTTCAAAGTACGAATTCTTCAAAAAGTAAACAATCGTGGATTAGCAGCGCGCGAGTTGGCGAAATCGACGACACTCACAGAGCGGGAGCGATAATATAGCTTTCAGGAACTTGGTTGTATTCGTGTATAAATTATTAGCTTGAAATATCGTAACAGCAAGGAAGACCTATATCTGATGATGGATTAAACTAACCGAAAAAAATTGGACCGTAGGGCACGATGTCTCATGTACGCTAAAAAGCTACAGGATCGGAATTGGCTCTCTATGAAGCCAAACAAATTTCAAAACAATGTTAGATCGAAAGATCGCCTTAAACCCACCAGCCTTTTTTATCGTTATTTTAACCAACCAAGAAGGAAACTAAAAGTCGATGACTTATATATTTTAACAGCACGTCAACATCAACCTCTAACTTGTTCGTGTGCTACCAGTGTAAACCACAAAAGTACAAGGCACAGCCAGCTAGCATACCTGGGTTGCCCCTTGAGATTTCAAGCCGGGGTTTCGTTTATCTTACATTACAACTTAATACAATTATTTCTGAAACATACCTGACTATAATCTGCTTTCCTTTCCATTAAAACTTCACCCATTTCAACCATACTGGGTGCGTATTTAGCCCATATTTCACCGGTAGAGTTGACGGAATGGCCGTCCGCGATGCTTTCTTACACGAAGTACTGGCATGTCCAATTATGATTTGTCAGCCATGGCAACCAACCAATTGACATTGGACAGATCTTGATGACTGCAAGTACCTGCAACAAATAATTGGTCTCATCACTGTTTTTGAGCCAAAAAAACCACGATGATTGCTTATAATTTCAGGGTCGTATGACGGAAATTTTCCTGTAAAAGTAAACAGTTTTCTAGAGGAATTATCTCAGCGTAAACGTACAAAGTTCGCAGGCTATCTAAAACGATAAAGGTAATAAAACAATAACAATCAATAATAATGAGGTAAAAATCAACATACCTTCCAACGTAGACCAGTAGACGGTAGATATAATTAAAATTTTATTCAAAATTGGATTGCGTCCGTGGAAAACCAGTTTTTGATTTACCCCAAGTCGTTGACGGAGCGAAAGAAAATCATTGGAACATCGTGTGCTACAAAAAAAGAACTACTTGACTTCTGGTAAAACTAGAAATAAAATCGGGAGAGGTAAGAGTTGCTTCATGGAAAGTGGCTTCAACAATAAGATCACTTGAACAAACAGCAGCGAAGAGAATGAGCCGGATGACAGTTGGTGAAGGCCCAGGATTAACCTGCGTAGCAAGCCTTTTTAATCGAGTTATTGCGTGAAAGCTGGAGCCTTCATTTAATACCTATTTTTGCTTTCGTTCCAACTTTCTGGCCGTACTCGGGCGGGAACGCTTGCTGCGCAGGCCAACTCCAGGATCAGCAGTATAGAAATAAGCTTTAAATTAAAGGCAAGGCTGATCGGACAGCAATGGATGGGCAATTTATTTGCCAAGTATTTCGGTTAGGCAAAACTAATATTCATCAGGGGAGAAAAGCTACTGAACTAGCCCTCATGAAGGTTTTATACCAGAAACCACAAGTGTAATTAAAAGGGCAACCTTGACAGTGTCCGTCGATCATCAGGCGACGTCGCGTTGTATGAAACTTTTGGCTACTTTCACTATGAAAGTGTTGGAATAAAGATTTCTTAGTTTTTACTTCGGCTATTTTCTTTTTTTTTTTCTCAGGGGTGTGCGAGCGTCAATTGATCAGGTCAAAACAGTGCAGTAGCCATCAAAAAGAAAGGTAAGTCGAGACACTTGACGCACTAACCTCGTCTACTAGTCAAAAATGCTGATGATAGCGTTTCACTGAGAAGTCTGGGTAAGACCCAAGGGTATATAGAGGATTCTCAAAACGGTTCTTCAATCCCGTCATGACAACCCAAATTTTCGGTCAACCCCGTAATCCCGTGAATACTTTCAACTCTCGAATCTCGCCCCCATTTTGCTTTGAAATCCCGAATCCCAGCCTTCAAGTAAGGGAAATCCCGGATCCCGAAAAACCTATTGGGGACTCTGCCTATATTACTTGAGGTGTAGATTGTTCACAGTCCCCTATTTTTTCGTGAGATCATTGAGGTATAGCGCGTGTTACCGTTAATTTTCCAAATGTACCGAGGGGGCGGGCGTCGGGGATTATAGCTCGAGGGGGAGCTTCCTCCCAAACCGTCCCCGCCCCCCAAGTAGTTTTGACACTCATGCAAGATGGCAGCCCGTAACGCAAAGCGCTCGATCTCGACGATCTTACGGAAAAACAGAGGACTGTGAACAGGATCTGGAATTCTCACTTGAGTTTATTGGCACTGTAACGCTACAAGTTCATAAAGGTGCAGTGTACAAGCATTCACCTCACCCATCCTCTTCGTGTCTCCTGGCACACAAGGCCTCTGGTTTATGTAATAACAGGGTTTTACCCTCAGCTCAACCTCCGACCTAGAGGGCAAGGGGACCAAACTTAACTTGTCTCTTTCCTTCGGCCGGTTCGGCATAGGTGGTCTACCAGGGGTCGAAGACCCGCAAACCACTCCTCCACGGTAAGGTGGTGATCCCCTCAGACCGTGTACAAGCGTTACCAGCACACAAATTTATGACGATCATATGAGAGGTCTCATGAGAGATTATTAGCCATAATTCAGGTTATATTTTTGCTTATTTTAGTTGTAGCTCAGAGAACGATTAAAATTCAAGTCGTCTTATATATTTGCATTGTCAAATTGTCCCACTAAAATATCAACTGAACAGCTACTGAAACGACGACTTGAAACCAAGCCGATGTGGTTAAAGTTTTTGCCCTACTCAGACCGTGTGATCCAGATTTCGAAAGGATGTCTGCATCAGGCAAGGTATTGAGCTCAGTACTCCTTTAAAGAGGCATATGCATGATCAGCAAATGTCGAACCTCTTGTTTTTCAAAAACGAGAGGTTCGACGTTCGAGCCCATCTTTACTCTTGTTCGACAAGAGGTTAATATTCAACTTGTCAACATAGCATAATACAGTATTCAGCATTGAACAAGAGTTGTCGGATTGTGTGTCACTAGAAAATGGAAATGGAAGCCATCAGATAACCTCGTTGCCTTTACTGTCTTTACTCATCCGTATGAAATCCGTAGGGATATTATATCCTGCGACAAAGCCATGCCACCAGATCTCCCCGTAGCCTGCTTAGCTGGCGGTACCGTGTGGGTGCGAGATTAAAGTTTTGGCGGCGGCGCCGCGTTCCAAAAAAAGGGAGTAGGGACCATACCGCCAGCTACGCAGGCTAATCTCCCCGGAGAGATTGCTCACCGTAGGAACCAATAGGAAGGAAGACTTGGAACGAGGTTGGCTATTTTCAGGTAGACTAATAGTTAGACTGCAAAACAGCTTGTTTGTTTTCTTAAATTGTTGAGGTTATTTTTGTGTAATCGAAATATTGGACGATAAAATTTCCCGATTATTTGTCCCTTTACATTCGGTTTCAAACACTCGGCAATCACGCCTAATAGACTTTTTGACTGAATGTGAATCTCACTATTAAAAGTGATATACTAGTCAGTTTCCAGCCGTCACGCCTGCTAACTTTCACGAAAACCTCACTGGACATAAAGGAATAGTAAAAAGTGTAATTTGTCAGGTTTTGGGATCATGAAACCAAAAAATTGTTTATTTTACTAAATACAATACGCGGCCTAGGCGTTTGGTTCGATCTGAGATTATATCAATGAAAAGTTATTTCCGAACGCAAGGCACAGTAAAACAAAGCGGATATGATAATGACGAAAACAATGGATATCTCCTGACACTGAAAAACCACTAATAAAGTTTAAGATCGCTGTATGGCGATGGGAATCACAATTTATGATGAACTGGTCGAATCTGTAACTTGTGGAACATTAGCAAGGCAAAAAGAAAGAATAACAAAGCCGCAAACTGTTCCGAACTGACGGCAAAAAAGAGAAAGTCCAAAATAATACCCAATTTTTTTATATTACTTCTTATTTTTGTTTTAGCCTCGCTGAACGAAGTCTTGCATTTCAAAAGAAACATCTGATGTATACTAAAAAATATAACTGCAATAAAATTTGTAGACGAATTAGCGTAGACAGATTACCATAAGTCGGCTATAAGAAGATTCTTTTCCGATCTTTTTGAGGTCCTGCTGAGTTTTTCGCTTCAAACAAAAAGATAATTGAAAAATATAATTACTAAAGAACCCATTCTTATAATAGCCAATATGTAAAACTTAGAACAAACCAGAATGGCTCATAACAAAATTCCCCTTCCTATATTCTAACAACAACGATAACGACACGTTTCATTAAAGAAAAAATAAATATAACAACTAAAAGAAAACAAATTTTGGGTAACAAAAATTTTCGCCGTTCATCTGACCCTCTTGGCGAATAAATTCAATTTTCGTACATAACTTATCGATTTCTGTTAGCTTGGACGTAAAAACTGGAACTTTAACATATATTGCGGAACTTTATTAATAATATTATTGTTATTATCATTACTTTTTTATTATTATTACTAGTAGTATTTCCATGTTTTCGTCCTCGCTAAAGGAAAATTGAAAAAGTTCATGCTGTCTAGCGGAAATGACTATCCTCAAGGGTCAAGTTGGATAAGGAAGCTTACTTCAAGGAAGCAACGAAAGAACTTACTTTTTTAAAAAGTTAAGACACGAAGTCATGGACCTCTTCCTGTGTAGCTGACGGCATAACCTGCGAAAACAACTTTCTCTCCTCGTTTCTCGCCGCTTTCCTAAGCGCCGCCGAGGAGCGAGAAGCAAGAAGCGAGGAGAAACGGCTGTTTTCGCAGGCTACTGACGGCAAGACTGATAAGGAAAATTTTTCCGCCGCTCTAAAATATCAAGAAACTTCCTTTGAATGATTTCGCTAGACAACAGCGTTTCATGACACCCTGCCAATTTCCTTAATTTTCAGTTTTAAACATGTGACTTGTCACTTGATAAATACTGTACCTTGAGAGTTTTTAAAGACACCTGAAAATCATTCAGGCCCAGCCTGTGTCTTGGCATTCAGAGGAAGACAAGGAGTCGATGTGCTTGAATGTTTTGATTATTAGCACGTTTTGGCAGTGCGTGTAAACGTCTGTTGATGACACTACAATTTATTTCAATGAGGCTACATTGCTGTAATATCTTAACACTCTTTTGCGAAAAAACGGTATACAATTTTGACTAGTTTTCTTGATGAAACCTGGAAATACGTTTTGGAGAATGGAGAAGAAGTACATGCTTAATATCGGGCGTTTAAAAGAGCATGTTGCCGAAAGAAAGTAAAAGGGATTAATACAGCAAATATTGTAATTTGTTTTTCTTTTTTTTTATTTAACCCTCTGAACTGGACGTCACAGAAATCGTTTCATCTGGGAATAATCATCTGTATTTCTTGGCGGCACGAGTGTCATATAGCTGAAAAAAATGAAACAGCAGCTGAGACTGATTTTAACACCTTTTTCAATTTCCTTCATCTTTAAGTGGATTAAACATCACATACGCGCCAAGTAATTAAGAATTTTCTTTTCGAAATGCGAGCTTTGTAAATTGCGTCTTTAAATAACCAAAAGACTTGACTTTTTTCCTTGTTCAGCGAATGAAATCTTTGTCGCCTTTGCATAGACGATTGAGGCGTGAAGGCTTTTGAAATTAGACAATTTAGTCATTGCTGTCATTTGATATATTTGTTAGGTGTAAGCATAATAAGTTGACTTCCTCGATACTTCAGCACGAATGTAAACTATTTGGATGTTTGGAATAGTGGTTTGAAATTTAATGCTTAGATGAAATATACGAAGTATTTTGTCCACTTTCCAAAACTCTCAATAACAATCTCCCTCAAAAATCACCGATAAATATAATAACTTATTCTACATAAGGAGTTTAACCAATCTTTCTCTTTCAGCTGTGTCTTCCTTTCAAAATTTCTGACAACCTGCCCCGTAATAGACCCAAATAAAATAACCTGATTCTTCTGGAGTCTTAAAAAATGCGCCCGCGCGCTCTATTTCTCCAATTGAAATTGACCAATTGAAACGGTCAGCGGTTATACTTTTTTTAGTTCACCGGTGCGCAAATTAGATAAGAACATAATAACTTCAATCAATTAGCGAGTTTTGAACACATAAAATGGGTAGGCAGCTGATTTTCTGATTTAATATCGTCAAGCCTTCGACGTCGATCGCCGAGGGTAAAATGATGTTTTCAGGAGTGTTAGTTTGTCTTTGTTCGTTGATCTTTTCGCCTGTAGGCGCGAGTACCAAGGTATGTAAATCCGTTCGACGCTTCTTCTACTCATGTGGTTTCTTTCTGGTGGTTTTGACCTTTATCTATCTTTATCGCTTTAGTGTTTGTTTTGTATTTGTTCTTCTTCATTCCCTGTAGAAGCCGTTAGAGCATCCTCTTCCAAGATCCCTTCCCGAATCGAAGATAAATGACTTGGCACAGAAGACAGACTACAGAGCCTTTTACGATGGTATTTTTCTTCCAGTATTACGAGTTCGTGTCCCAGGAACTAAGGGACATCACGCCGTTAAATTGGTAAGAAAAATAATGGTGAAACTTGTTTCATCTCTTTGACTTTCTTAAGTCAACAAGGTAGTGACTTCTTACGATTGCTATTTTGAAGTTTGTGGCGCTTAAACACCCTTGTTAAACAGATACAGACACTCAAACGAACACTTCTCTGAAAGGAACTTCTAGTTCCTGTTGACAAATTGAACCATATATTCTTCGATTTCTGGCCTATATAAATAATTGCCCCAGTTAAAATACTTCTCTTAACACGAAAGCGGTTTATGCGGTTTCATTGCATTGTCGAAGAGGGAAGGATTAGGATTTGTGTTGAAACGAAGATGAGAACATGAGTATTGAGATAAAGTGAAGGTCGAGGTGCGATATGATCGAAACAGACAACTTTTAGAATGGACGATTCATTTTGGACATAACTTACTTAAAGCACTTGTGGTATATTTCTCACGGCTCTATTTTTCTTGCAAAGATGAGCGATATGACTATATCATATCTTGACATAACAAGGGAGCTGCAGTGTTCGAAAGTATGTTTCGCGAATAGTTGTGTTATATCCCTAACTACCATCTTTTGTTTTGCCTGTTATCCACATGGTACGCGTGTATCGCTCGATTCTTGAGATTCTGTACTTTGACAAAATAAATATTGGTCCTGTAGCTTTTCACCTAATATACCTCCTAAATATTCAAGGTATAAAATTGAACGTGACTATTTTGGTGAAAACGCATTTGGACAGAGCACGCTAATTATTAAACCAGCTGTTCTGGAAAAAAAGAAAAAATACGCCCTCTGGCACGTCTCCACTTAATTGCATATATTACCATATTACTTGAACAAAAGCAGAAAGCGAGTTGTTTCTAAATTATTGGTGTTGATATTTTGTAACTTGGATCTACATTTTATGTGAACATTATTTCTGTAAAAATCTCTGAACAAAACCCCAAATTATTAAAAATTGTTAGGAGGGACTACATTAATTAACATATTAATGCTTTTACCGAATGTGAAGTAAATTACTGACCCATCTAACTTGCTTGAGTTGTGCTTTTTTTTCCTTTTAGAAAATCTAAAGTTATTTTGGTTGTACTAAAAAAGAAAAAACAACATACACACACACACCAATCATTTAAATGCCCTGATTTTCCTGATATATAAATAATTTGCATTTCAGAATTTATTTATTGACAAAGAAAGATCAAAAACAGGATGCTTATTTCAAAATTGTTTTTTCATTTTTTTAAAAAGTTAGACTTATCTAGTTTTCTAGCCTGGTTTACTTTGACACTGGTGTTTATGCACGCTTTTTTCTGAACCTCAAATAAAGTTATGAATGCAAATTTGTTTAAAATTCTGTTCATTATTAGCTGTACCAAAAATGCATTATTTTGAAGTAAAATCTGTAAGTTTTGGTTTTGATATGAGGATGAAGGGACATTTAAAAAAGAGAAAAAGTTATATATTTATTGTTAAATAAGAAGCAAGCAGTTTTCCTTTTTTTAAAGAAAATTAAATTGATAAGCATAATTGACGCTGTGGAGATATTTATTAAATTGAATGTTGGCTGGCATATTCTTAAGTGTTTGTTTTCGGAACACATGATATAAACTTTTCTGTGTTTGTAGAGAAATCAAAATTAATTAGGCCATAAATTTTAGTTTTACCTCACTGGGTTTTATGGATTTAACATTTTGCCTTTCCTCATAAATGTCAATTTGCAACAGCAATATATTTATTTTTGGAAAGTGATTCACAGATATCATGATAAATTGCAAAACATCTGGCCCAGCTTCATAAATTTTAACACAAATTCTCTAAACTGATCCTTAAACTTTTCATTAAAGAATGAGTTGAGAGAATTTCTCTCTGGTGATCATCTTATTAATTCTTGTGAACTAATGTCTTGACAATGTATGGATATTGTTAGGAGAAAGCTGATGTTGGTCACTATTGGAACTTAAACTGTTAACATTGGGTATTATCACTGGTATTCATTCCAAAGAGACCTTCTATAGGGGTTGTCAGGATAATCCTCAAGTGCAGCAAAACAAATCAGAGAATCAAAGAAAACAACAAAAAATTCTTTAGTTAATGTTTCAATGGATGGTGCTACAGTTTTTTTTAAGTAGGGGTTTTAGGTCTTGGATTTAGCTGGTATCTGGTCACTTTATTTCATGGTCAGATCGTTCCAAGTAAGCCAGATCGTACCACAATATAGTTTGAATTTTTCATGAGTCTTTAAGCCACAAGTAGAAATAAGGGACTGCTCGTGTATACTTCATTATTTAAGCCAAGAAGCCAAAAAAATGCATTTTACATCACGTTTTACACTGAACTGTGGAATGATCTGACCAAAAAATGGAACGATCTGACCATGGAATGAAGTGACAGTAAACCATTTAGCTTATATGTGAAGAAACTGGTTCAACGCCTAGCTATTCCCCAGGGTATGGACTAACCATAGCAACACTCTACACCATTTCCTTTATATATGGTGTAAAAGCTTGATGCAAACAATTTAAAAATCTTTTTTTCTCAGTTTATAAAGAAGCAATTTGAAGATTTGGACTGGACAGTTACCTTAGATGAATTTGATGACATGACACCCTATGGGCCAAAGCGATTTACTAACATCATCGCCACTCTGAATCCCAATGCAAAACGCAGGCTTATTCTAGCAGCACATTATGATTCAAAATATTTTCCTGAGGACAGCGATGGTAGATACTTTTTTGGCGCTACAGACTCAGCCATGCCATGTGCAATGTTGATTGAAATTGCCAAGACAGTGACACCTTTGTTTAAAGCACAGGAGCAGCAACAAGATAGGCTAGTCAATGATGATGATGATGAGGTTTGTTAGAGTTAGTTTTTTATAAGTTTTTTTTGTACAAATTTGTATATGCAATGTTATAGACACTGTGTTATCGACACATTTTCAAAAGTCAACGTATTAATTAATAGATTAATAGTTAATAATAGAGATAGATAGATAGATAAATGTAGAGATAAATGTGTAGCAGTCATGGCCATAATTAAGGACTTCAGTTTGCCAGTTTGGCGCTAAATTATTTTGTTTACAGCAATCAGATGTCACTTTGCAAATGGTGTTTTTTGATGGAGAGGAAGCGTTTAAGGAGTGGACAAAAAATGATTCTCTTTACGGCTCGAGACATCTTGCAGAAGTATGGAGCAACACAACTCATCTAAAGGGATCAAATACCACAATGATCGATACGATAGTAAGTATAAAATATAGTAATTATAATAATTAAATACTACAAAAATTATGTATGTTGATCAGAAAATTTGAACACTCCTTGTATATATGTTGTGGGGAATTTTTTATTTCAGTTAGTTTTTGTGTTTTCTTTGTCTCATTATATGTTCAAGTGTATCAGTGTAACTAAATCAGTTTTTAATTAAGTTTCTTTCCTTGCTTCCTTTGAAACAGAATGCCTTGGTATTGTTAGATCTAATTGGTACTTCTGATCCACAACCCACATTTTATAATACGTTCAAAGAGACAGATGATTTGTTTCAGAGATTGGAGCAGATAGGTAAGACACTGTTATTCAGCCACACAGTAAATGTCTATAATCACGTAGAACCATCTCTTTTGTGATGCGATCCATTTTAATAATCGTAGACAACTGAACAAGGAATAAAGATCAGGGGTTTCAATAAAAATTGAAGTAGCCAGTAGGTTTGAATAGAGTAACCGACTGTATCAGCAAGAGGCTGTTGACTAAATTACTAAAAAAACTAAATTACGTACTTTTGCACGTAAACAAATTCTGTGTAAACCTATAATGAAACTTGTGAAAAAATGACTGAAATAATTATTATAGCATTCACATGAGTAAAGCACAATGTAAAACCATTGGGCCTTTATGAAAACTCATCGTAATTACATTTTCATTCAGATTTTATGATATATTTTTTGTTTACAACGTTATTCAAACTAGTTGCTTCTTCTGTCAGAAAAAAGTAGCCGACCTCTATGAGCAAAGTAGCTGATTCGTTCCATCAGCCGTCGCTGCTTATTGAAACCCCTAAAAGATCTTTCAAATTATTATACCCAAATGTGTGTAATTCAATACCATATACCTATCACACTGTAACTCTTCTTCAGTCAGAGCCATGCAATTTTATCCTGAGTGACAGGGATTTCGCATAGACAAACCGATCTCTCAAAAATGAAGACTGTAATGGCCCAAATTTTTCCATCATTCATGAGAAATATATTGGTCCATGGGCATAAGTAGGCATGAGATTGACATTTTCCATCAGCGGGTGTTTAAGACTCGTGTATAAGGTGCACCTGTGAGTTGGCAGGTATATATAGTGTCATTTCAACAAAGGAGATTTGAGTAATTTATTTAATGTGCTATTTTTCAAAACTGGGTCATTCTCTTTGGGAAAAATGTTCCTGATCAGTCAGTTAATACTTCAGAAACTTTTTATTATTGTTATTGACACTGTCATGTTTCTTTTGACAGAGCGGCGGTTAATAAGCACCAACAGGCTTATAGAACGACGGCCTCAACCCTATTTTATGCATGGTCTCATGGATCGCAGATATTTAGTTGAGGATGATCATATACCTTTCTTAGAGAGAAGTAAGCATTGTAGCAAATAACATAATTGTGAAAAATCAACAATATGCTGAGAAATCATATACAAGTGATCATGATGTAAGGACAATGTGTTGTTACTAATGTTATGAAGGGAATGTGATGTTCTTCGAAAAATCAAATTTAAACCACTAAAGGAAATCAATGTTTGGCATGGCTCAGGATTTATTCAACCTCTTAAAGGACCTATGGTATTCTAAAATTCCTTGAACCAATGATTTATTATATTAAGGAAAAGCTATTGCAAAGAAAATGTCAAAATTGAGAATTGTCTCCAACAGAGTGACAGTGGTTGGTTTGGTCTGTAAGAAAAGAAGTCTGTATATGCATAGATATTTTAGCTTTCCATCTTAAATACCCTATAGAGGTACCAAAGACAAAGGAGAGGCTGCAGATTGCCTTGTTTTTGCGAAAATTTCTTTTTTGGTTTCAATACTGGCACTTGTTGTCATTTTGCAGGGCTGTCACTGAGATTTCAAGTTGCCGGGTAAATACAACAAGTAGGCGGGGAATCAAACAGCTAGGGATTTCTTTTGGTCATATTTTTCTTCTTTTTTCCATGAAAGTAGCCGGGGGAAATCCTTGGCCCCCAGATCTTAATGACCGCCCTGATTTTGTTACAACATGTTGGAAGATGTTAGAAGTGAAAAAAAAAACACAATCTGGTGTTGCTTAGTGTACTTCGCTCAAGCTGGCTTGGCTGCATTCATGTAAAAGGTTTTTGTGGTCTATAAGTATAGTTTCATAAATGCGTTTTAATTTTTCTCTTCTAGATGTCAAAATTCTTCATCTGATTTCACTACCGTTTCCTAACTGTTGGCATCAAGTCTGTGACCATGAAGGCGAAATTGACCCCAAAGTGGTTCAGGATTTGTTGAAAGTCCTTCAAGTATTTGTTGTTGAGTACTTTGGGCTTGCAGTGGTTTAATAATTTGTACAATGCGTAAAAAAGAAAAGTTGTTTCATTCCCCTTTTCAAAACAATTTATTATACTTATAATAAGTATAAAGTTACAGATAACAATTATTGTGGACATCATTAGCATACAGTAACTAGTGACCAGTACGTCTAGGATGGACAAAATGTCCTAACCCTTTCAATCCTGATAATAATATATACTTTAAGATTTTCATTGTCTTATTAGTTTTTTATAAAAGAGGTTGATGTAAACTGGTGTCACCCGGCCAATTTGCATCTATTGAGTTTTCATTATTTTTAATAAAATGATAATGATTTATAATAATATATTCTTTAGCAGGAATGTTCACTAAAAATATTTGGCTTCAGGAACAATGAATTTTAAACGTGATCTGGCCGTCTAGTGTATTAAAAGTGTACTGGCTGGTAGTATATATGTTGTAGATAAGTCTGTCGCAGGGCTGTCGAAAGGTTTTTAAGTAGCAGGCTGATAAGGAATAGTAGGCGGCTTTGGAACTCGCACCAAAGGCACAAGTTCTTGAGGGCCGAGGCATCTAGGGATATTTTGAAATAAAGAGTCTCAGAAATGGCATTTCCAGGGGTTTTCAAGGGGAATCTTCCACTGCAGATGCAGGGTGCGAAGAAAGTCATTTTTACAGCTTGCCATTCGGGCAAGCTGAAGCTAACATTTACTAGCCCAAATATCATTTCAACTTGCCCACAAAACGTTTTGATGAGCAGATTGATTTCACAGTTCTTCTGTAAATTGAATTCCTCAAAAAAATTCACTTGCCCATCGGGCAAGTTAATAATGGAATTCACTAGCCCAATAGCAAAATCCACTAGCCCCGGGCTATTGGACACTACTTTCTTTGCACGCTGAGATGCCATGTTGTTTCGTGAGAATACACACAAGACTAGAAACAATGCCGTCTAAATGTCCCAGGTGTTCCACGACATCGAACGTTTCACAGATCTAAACCTGTTTAAATATGCGTCAGTGTCATTCAAAACTGGGAATTTTATTTGGCAGTGCCTATTTTTTGTCAGCAGTTATGGTGGAAGGATATGAAAGTAGCCAGCTAGGGATGGCTCACTAGCCAGCAGTTTTGGCCTGCTACTGGCCCTTATTGACAGCCCTGCTGTTGCAAGGTTAAGCCAGTATAAAGTTTGAATGGAATTTCTTTTGTTTCCTGGCCCTAATAATATTCATAGGTTACAAAGGAAATCCTGGTTTAACCTGAGAATACAAGTTACTTTCAATTTTATTGACATATTCAACACGTAAACAGTCAAGATAAAATTAGGAGATCTTCAGAAGTCCAGAAATTGATTCTGGGAAAGCAGGCATCTTTGGTGTCCCTCTGAGGCCTTCAAGAAAAGTTAATCTTCTTGCTCAAATAGACAGGGACAATAAAAATAAAAAATTATGGAGCAATAAAAAATATTATTATAGTAACTACTGGAGGAAGATTTTGTTATCTTAGAATACAGCACTTGATTTCTCACGTGTTGGAAGAGGAGTAAGCAGTTTTGACATAATTTTAATGGAAAACAAATTTGACAAAGTAATTTAAGATGTTTTTGGTAAGCACAGTTATAAGAAAATGTTAATTTTATATGAAAATACACATAGGATTATTCATTAACATAGGTCTGTCAATACTCCTACAATAAACAACATTTGAAATTTAATTTATATTTTTCATTAATTCCTCATTATTATCTGTTGTTTATTCATTAATAAACTCTGCAAACAAATTAATAATTGCAATGTTTGTGCTTTGATTCTTGTACAATCATGTGGCCTTTATAGTAAGACATTTTATCCTTGTGAACTTTCATTCAAAGCAAGTGGTGAGATATAATAAATTGAGATTTGCAGGATATAGTTTCATGCTGGAACATCACTGAGTGAGTACATTCTCACAAAAATATTTTTTTCTTACCCGGGGCCTGGTTCCTGAAAGGGCGATTAGCGGTGATCCAGGATTAAAAGTTTGTTGTTTTTGTAGTTTACCTTCTTACCTATTTCTTAGAGTAACATTTTGTGTTAGGCACAAAAGAATTTTGTATGCTCAAGTTTGCATGTTCTTGGACAAGAACATGCTTTCAATATTTGGCTTAATCCTGGGTTCAACTTAACCATCTTTTGAGGAACTGCACCCTGGATGAAAGAAAACTGTTCAGCTAGTCACAGCCTGCCTAGATTAAACCATTGCAGGCATGCAAGCGATAGAGGAATCTAGTTGCTCATGTTGTTAGTGGCAATGTAGGAACAACATAAAATTTTCAGGTGGTAACCACACCAGCCTCTGTCATAGGTAAGTCAGCAAAATATTTGGATAACAAGATGGAGAACAAGGCTGAAACAATAGCTAAAAACAAATAGAAACTAGGGATTATAATAGCATTGTTCCCCTTGCAGTATTTTCTACTCATAGATGCAGCTGGCCCTGCTCACGTGAATGAGCCATGCTTATGTCACATTGCCTCTTGTGAAGTTTAAGAGAAAGAAATAGTCTGTCTTGTCATTATCAGTTTTCCAAATTATTTTGTTGCATGCCTGCACTTTAAGTCTGATCATTAAGTCACTAGTTGTTTAGCAGGGATTTTAGTTTAGTTGGCCCTGCCATAACTTGCCTAAGAAAACAGCCAACATTTTGCGACGCCACCACTGGTTTCCTCATTAAATGGCATCTGAGCAACCAATGGAAGTGTCGTGAAATGTCAGCTTTTTTCTCAGGCTATGCCATAACCAACACAAATAAAGTGCAAAATGATGTTAGGTGAACTGCCTCAGCAACCGTGATGGTCCTCACAGTGCAACTGCGTCAGCCCTAGTGAGACCATATACTGTAATAATAAAAAAATTATTAAAATTATGAGCCATTATGAGAGTGGAGGCTTATGTAATTATTGGTGCCCCAGACTTGAGGAAGGGTTCACTTACTAGAAGCTGAGGTGCTTTAAAAACAGAGAAAAATATAGTGTGTGCATTCAAATCTGTTGTTTACAGGGAGGCAGTGTGGCCAAGTGGTCACCACCTTGGACTCGCAATTGGGTGGTCTCGGGTTGGAGTCCCACTTTGGCCATACTGGATTTGCTCTTGCTCATCCTGGGTTCAAATCGTAAGCTCTGCTTGTAAATAGCCAACTGGCTGCTTCCTGCCAGTTGGGGTTTTTAATCCTGTTATGTTCTATTATTTTGCATCATTTGTTTCAGAATTATTGTAGTGGAGTGCCTGTAAACTAGCTGGATAAGCTAAGTGCCCTATATTAAAAATTAGACACCCACTCAATTGTAAGAGGGGACTATGCAAGAGGTGGGTGGCCATCTTATACAGGTTTCACTGTGTTATGAACATTGACTATTCTCTTTGTACAAATTGTATTCTAAGAGGCCGATCAGGTATAATGGGAAGTCCATGAACTTTTGGCTCGGGTTCTTCACCAATGTGAAATATTTGATACTTTTGAATTATTCTAGTCAACAGCAAGTACTGTTCCAGCTCTGACAAGCGCCGACCTACACACATGCGAGTGCCATACCCAAATGGCAAAGAAGCAAATGCCTCAACAGATGAACTGCTCTTGGATGGTCTTCTTTGGGCACGCAACCATCTTTCTGGGATAAAAGATAATGGTTCTTCAAAATATTTGTCACTAATTCCCATGGCATAGGACAAAATCATCACCTGAGTACCAGCAGGGATTTTATAACCACTTAATACCAAGTCTTGTTCGGTTTCCCGGTGAAGGAAATAGATTGGGTACAACCGAAGGACTTCTTTGATGCATGATTTTAAGTATGACATCTTAGACAACGAGTCAGCAGACAAAATTTCTCCAGGCTTCAAAACTGTTGAAATTTCTTGATGTAATTTGAACTGCTTATCTTGATTTTTTGCCAGCTCATACAAACTCCACAGAACTGCATTTGATGTTGTGTCAACACCAGCAAAGAAAATGTCTACATATGTTGCTACCATATCCTTGTATGTCATATCAGATTTCGAAGACAAAACTTCTAAAAATTCTCTGTTTTGGCTTTGATTTTGTTCACCTGTGCTTGTATTTTGCTCTTCGTACTTTGTCAGTTTTCTCTTTATACATTTTCCAGTAAACTCATATAGTTTGTCACAACTTTGTGTAAACTGCTTGTACATTTTGGTTTGAAAAATATTCATCATCCAAGCAGGTCGCACATTGATGGCAGCACTAGCGTTTAAAAAGTCGGACGATGACTGGATGAACTCCTGTACCTCATGGTCAATTTCATCTTCCAAAGCACCAAACCTTTCATCAAATAACACCAGCGAAACAGACTCGAAGGACCATTTAAAGAGCTCTTCTTCTAACAGGGGTACCTCGTTGTCCAAGCCATGGATTCCTTTCAGTTTCTCAATCCTCGCCATAAAGTCAGTGACAATCTCATTAAATGATGGTATGTATTCTTCCACACACTGTGGCTTCAACATTCGATCGTTCACCCAGCGCCGATATTTGTACCAATTTGTTCCATTACCGAAGAGCAAACCTGGAAGTTTTTTAGTCTTTTTCCTGTAGTAATTCATAGCAGGGCTTTCCGGTCTGATAGGAGAACGTCCCTCGGCCCGAAATACTG